TTGGAAGTTTTTACATTGATTTTCTTTTTATGGACATTTGTTCTCACTCACTTTTACTCTTTTACAGCAAATGGAATGCCAGCAGGTCAGACTGATTTATGTTTTGGACAACTTAAATTTGGACTTGCCATTTAAAAGAACACAGGGCACAACTCAAGATCTGTTTTCTTAAGTAACAGGAGTACAATTTTAAAAAAATTCCTAACTGCTCCTATAATACCCGTAAATAAAACTGGTGCCTTCTAGTGGTTTACAGTTGTCTTTTACTGAATGGACTAAAAGGACTACACTTTATCTTTTTGGTGCTAGAGAGTGAATTCAGGGGCATTTGACCACTGAGCCACATCCCAGCCCTATTTTGAATTTTATTTAGAGACAGGGTCTGGATGAGCTACTTAGTGCCTCATTTTTGCTAAGGCTGGCTTTGAATTTGAGATCCTCCTGTTTCAGTCTCCTGAGCTGCTGGGATTATAGGTGACACTGCGCCCAGCTACATTTTCTTAGCCTAAGTGACCAAGTGGGATGAGATGAAATACAGGTTTTAAGAAGGGTCCCTGGCCTGGTGAAGGCTTAGATTCAGGAGATGCGTTTAGTGTGGGTCACCTGCCTTCCCTTGGGTGATTTCAGTAACTTACCCTTCACCTAGTGACCAACGAGGTGGCCACAAACTCTTTACAGAGATGAACTTGCCCGTCACCTTCAGGGAGAGCAGAGTTGAGGTGACCCAGGGCCTCCACACTTTCCACTGTGCTACCTGGGGCTTTGGGCCAGTTTTCTAGCCTAAGTCCCCTGTCTCCCTGTGCTTGGCCTCCAGATCAGGGACAGCCAGTGCAGCCCAATTAAGTGCGGACTCCAGAGCCAGAACACCTGCATTCACATCTCTAGTCCACCAGGTGCCAGGGCCAGTGCTCTGGGCCTCAGGAGAATGGAAGTGGCTGCAGGAGTTAATCTTAAACACCTAGTTAACACCATACATGTGCTTGCTGAATGAACAGGTCAATTTTTCTGGACTTCTGGTGCTCCTACAAGCTTGGTACTTAAAGGAAAGCAGATATTATCTTTGGGCCTAGCTGGAAAACCAGGCCAAATTTGAGTGTGGTATTATGTGTGGGTACACTACATGCTTTTAAATATAATGTATTTATGTATAAATGTCATATTCATTTATATACATATGTTTACCACTGATATGTATGTATGTATGTAGGTGTGTGTGTGTGTGTGTGTATTTCAAATTGAATATATATATATATATATATATATATATATATATATATAGACACACACACACAGATTTTTACCAATGGTTCTTAGATTTGTAGAATTTACTTGGAACCTACTTATGTGGTGTACATTGCACTATTAATTTTCTGTTCTTTTCAATAATATTGTATTCCCTTGAAGACAGGAACTATCTTAAGCTTATTGGATTGACTGAGTCAGCAACATTTGTCAAAATTTTTTGATGCTAAAGATAAATTATATATATACACACACACACACACATATACTGATATATAATTAATACATATATATCGTACTAAGCTAATGTCAGGCATAAATTAGAAAACTCCAATTTGAATTAAGACTATACCTTTGATTTAGTGTTTGTAGCTTTTATGATTTAACCTGATAAATTATTTTCACTCCTCTTATATGGTTCACAGTATATATAAATCATATCATTAATGCACATGAATTTATATACTGAGCCTTAATATTTCTCAAGGGACGTGATGACACACTGGCATAGCGACTGTATTTCAAATTGAATTTTTATTAAGATTATTGTTGATTCACATGAAGTTGTAAGAAATAATAGATTGCTGTCTTTTAGCCATGGAAAAAAAGGATAAATATTGTTTGTGCATGTTTGTGCCTGTCTTTAGGGTCTCCAAAAGGTAACAAAACTTAGAAATTAAAGTTCTGCTTCCTCCTTTCAATTAATATGTTTGGGTCAGTTAAATGAGGGGGAAGACAGTATTATACACATATATGCATATCATTCACATTAACTGTATATGTGCAAGCCTTTATATGAAAGAGAATCATGCTTCTTTTCACCCCACTTTTTATTGACCAAAATAGTAAAAATCCATGTGGTTTAAAGTAGGGCTCAGTGGAAACAGAGATCTGTATCAAGATGAGTCTCTTTCCTTAGAGGGAAGATTGGGCCAGATGGGTATTATATTTTAACTAAAATGTCACTTGTCAGTAACAACTTCAGTAATAATAATAATATTGATTAACAGTTATTATTAATAATTATTTATTAATAATAATTATTATTATTATCGTTTTTGGTACTAGGGTCTAACCCAGGGGCACTTTATCATTGAGCTATATCCTCAGCCCTTTTTTTATTTTGTATTTTGAGACAGGGTCTCACTAAGTTGCTGAGGGTCTTGCTAAGTTGCTAAGGGTGGCCTCGAATTTGTGATCCTCCTGTCTCAGCCTCCCAAGTCTCTAAGATTACAGGCATGCACCATTGTGCCTGGCGCACACATCTGTTCTTAAGCAAAATCCAAGATTTTGTAAGACTTATACTCAGATTATCATTGAATAGCTACATAGAGCTTAAAGAGGATGAAACATTCCAAGGATTGGATTGGAATAATCAGATGAGGAGTGGTAAAGAAATCTAATTATTTTATCTTGATTCTATAAAATGAGGAGGCCTGGCTAAATGACTCCAAATGCACATGATCTTTAATAATCATGAAACTTCTTGGTTTAGTCACCAGCCCAGACCTAGAACGTAGGTGCTCATGTGCTTAGATTAAAAATGAAATGATGTAACAAGTAAAAATCCTCTGGTGCCTGATGAAAATCCAAAGTCTGCCTGTCTGACTCACACAGGCGACTGGGAGACTTCCAAGACCTTTGGTGACGGTTCTGTTTCCTTTTGCCCACTGGACATTGTAACCTCTTATCTTTGTGGTGAATAAATCAGCAATAGCAGGTGCCATACGCACTGCCGAGGTTACTTTTTAAATGGGGGGAAAAGATAGGTAATAATGTTGTCATTCGAGATCACGTGACCTGCCCCAGGTGTTATCCTTGGAGGTCCAGAGGGCATTAGCGTGTGTATTTCAGACACAAATTCTACTGAGTTTGGGGAACTGATCGGCTTTGGGAACTGAAAGTTAACCTTTGTTTGCTTGTATAATTAAAATAGAGGACTTGAAAGTCATAGTTTGAGGAGTAAACACACTGAAAGGATGGAGGTTATCAGTCTGGGAGACTCTTGGGTCAATTTGGCTGAGAAAAGCATCCGGAGTGTTTTAACCAAGCAGCCCCTGCTCTGCAGGCCCAGGCCAGACTCCCCCTGGCTCATCTGCCTGATGGTCGGGTAGAGATCAGTGGCTTCCTGAGAGGCAGCTGTTGGAGGTCCCCTGACCAGGCCATCGTCAGTCATTGTTTTGGTTAATAAGATTGTACAGGAGAAAAGCAGACGGAGCCCAGGCTGGTGAGCTGACCAGGGCAGCACGCCTTAATCAGAGGCCCCTTGTCACTGAAGAGCAGGCGCCACGTAGGAGCAAGAAACACTGAAGCACCCAGTGAAACTGTGTTAACATCTGCTCACTGGCTGGTTTTACAAAGCATTTGATTAATATTTGGGGACATTAGCGTCAAGAATGTCTTTATCTGCTTTTTTCCCCTCAAGGAAGACTGGGTTGGAGTGACATCTCTGTACTTTGTTTTCCAAGTAGTTGAAATTCTTTTTTTTTTTTTTTTTAATATTTTTTAATTGTCAATGGATCTTTATTTTATTTATTTATACTCAGTGCTGAGACTTAAACCCAGTGCCTCACACATGCTAGGCAAGCGCTCTACCACCGAGCCACCACCCCAGCTCCTGAAATTCTTAACAATAACCCCACAGAATGCTGCTAGTAGCTATCGATTGAGAACCCCATGAAGAAAGTGGAATTTGAGAACCAGAATGACAGATCAGTTAAAAGCTGGAGCCTGGAGTCCAACTCCTGGGCTAGATCACTGGCTGAAACATTTACAAGCTTTGTGATTTTGAGTAAGTCATTTAACCTCTCTGAGCCTCAGTTTTTCTCATCTATACAATGGGGCTACAGAGTGTTCCATTCATATTAGCTGCTGTTAACCCTGTGAATGATTTTACCAGCCAGCCAATGACCATAGCCATAGTGTGAAGTTTATCATTCCTTCATCTTGGTGCCTTTCTTGGTCCTTCTCACATCAAGTATGATGAGTGAGATAAGCTGATCAAATAAATATCTCCGGGGAAAGAAAACTTTTCCCATCTGTGATTTCAATTTTCTCTGGCAGCAGCTTCCCAGAGAGTCATGGTGACTTCATTCTCAAGCATATTTTGTTCCTGGGTCACTACCTGGGAAATAAAGGGTGTCTGCCTTTACATCATGAATAGATAAACCTTTATCGATCGTTTTCCATTAACCGTGGGCTGTTAGCTAAGAGACTGGATCTTTCACAAATGGAAGAATTTGCTTCAACATTTTTGGTAACTCCCTGACCAATTAAGATAGTCCTTCAGGGGACCAAGGAGGGGGACCAAGGAGTCATGGAGTTTTGATACCAGGTAGAGGAGAAAGGGATTAAAGAGGAAAACCTGCGGCTGGACATTTGCAGGCAGCTCCACTGGAAGTTGGCTTTGTTTAGTGCCCAACTTCTTAAAAGATTTTCCTCGGCTGAGTGGGCTTGGTGGAGCACTGGCCTGAGAGCGTTGCTGAGCAACGAGATTTTGTGGCACTCGCTACTCAAATAGTCAAGCAACCCATCCATTCCCGGCCTCCCCCTCTACTGGCCCTCAGCTACCACCAGAGCCTCTGTTAGACAATGAAGTGTGTGGCAGAGGGAGGGACCGAGACAGGGGGCGAAGTTTAATCATTGAACCAGGCGGACTGGAAGTATTTAGGCGGCAGCACCCAGCTCAAGGCCTGGACTAGAAGTGCTCAGCGCCCTGGAGTCGTGGGAAAAACACTGCCCTATTCTTTGGTCTTTAGTCTTCGCCTAAATCAGGAGAAACCAAACTTGGGGAAACATGTTTGCGGTACATTTGCTGGCATTTTACTTCACCAAGCTAAAAGAGGATCAGATCAAGAAGGTAAGGACTCACAAAGCCGTGAGATGTGGGGGCCTTCTGCAGATCTCCTCCTGCATCAGAAAAGGACTCAGGAGCTGGGGGTGTCGCTCAGGAGCAGAGCTGCTTGCCTAGCCCGGGGGAGACCCTGGGTTCCATTCCTAGTTTCAGAGAGCTTATGAAGAACAGCTCTGCCAGCCTCTGACAAGTAAAGACTCAGAGTGGGAAGGGGAGGTACTTCTGCATACCCCTGGGCAGTGCCTTACTGTCCCGAACCCTGAATTTCAGTGGAACTTTCTGGCAGATATCACAAAGGAAGGAGCTGAGGAGAAAGTGTAGGGAATGCTTGAAGGAGTTTGTCTCAGGAATGTAAGAGGAGGCTTGATTCAGGGATGCTTTGGGGGAAAGGCCACATGGAAGAGTCATTTGTAAAGAAGTTTTAAGAACTTTTGAAGAAGATCTGATTATGCATATATTTGAAAGCATATAAAATATAAGACCCCCAAGAGGAATGTAAAATTTATTTGTTTGCAGTAACTGGGGATGGAACCTGGGGCCTTGCTCTCTACCACTGAGCTATATCCCCAGTCCCTTTTGTTTTTATTGAGACAGCATCTCGATAGGTTGTCCTGGCTGGCCTCAAACTTATGATCCTCCTGCCTCAGCCCCCTAAGTAGCTGGGATTATAGTGTTTGCCATTGTGTCTGGCTATATAATTTGCTTATATTATAATGTATATATTTTACATATATATGTTTGTGTGTGTGTATATATATATATATATATTTTTTGAGGGCTCCATATATAGTTCATGCTAGCCTTGAATTTCTGGCCTCAAGCCATCCTCCTGTCTCAGTCTCCCAAATAGCTGAGACTACAGGTGCATACCACTGTGCCTCGTAGTTTTAATGTGTGCTAATTGAAATGTTATTATTAGCACATGCTATTTGCCAACAGTGCACTATTAAAGGTGTGCATTATTTGGTCACTTTGCCCCAGGAACTAGATTACAAAATTCATTCCAAATTTGGCTAGTTAAAGGTTGCCAAGGTCAACTGCGGGTAATCAGATTCTCTCCAGGCAGCTGAAACAAGCCTGCCTTTCGGGCTGCACTGGGCCAACTGACTGTCAGAAGCAGCAGGGCCACCGAGTGGCATGACTCAATTTATAGATAACAGATGGACTCAGCCAAGGTCACCCAGGTATTTAAGGTGAAATCCAACTAAACCTACATCTGAGATTGCTAATCCCAGCTGTTTCTATTTACTATGATGTCTTCCTGCTTTTCCAAAGAAGAGGATGAAGCCCTCACAGCGTTAGTGTGTTTGGTGAGATATTCTATTCATGAGGAAGTTAGGTGAGAGGAACAGCAAACTTAGAAATATAAAGCAGTGAGTTTAACCTTTTAATTTGTATTTGTTGGTTAGACTCACAGAGCCCCCTACTGGAGACTTGAGGAGGTGAACGAATCCTCCGCAGCCCTGCTTGGGATTCCCTTCCTGTTATTACCTTTGCTTGGGAAAAATGCAACTCCCACTCCCAAGAGGGAGGCTTGGAACCCTGAAATCTTTGGTTCTGCAAAGTTATTTCATTTCCTTGGCCCCTCTGTGGTGGCTGACCTTTTGTTCCACCCTAGGTTAAGGCAAGACATGTTTGTCCACCAGCCCAATTACAGGCTCCGATGGCCTCTGTGGAAACGCAGGCTCCCGGGTCCTTTTGCAAGAATCAGTCTTTGTAAATACCTGGAGTCGACCTGCCCCCTCCCTGTGGGAGGCAAGAAAGTGGAGCATTTTGCAGTTAACCTGGGAACCTAAGTGTTTCTGGGGGAGCCTGCTTTGTGGCTCTTGGGCTGAGTCATAGATTCTGAGAACATTCCTCCATGTGAATGTTCTCAGAAACACATCTGGTCAAAAGGCACCCTGTGGTCCTGTAGCCAGTCCTGTCTTAGCTTGTGCCTCTAGAACATCTGAGCTCACACATGCCTGCAAGGGTTACTATTCAGACCCTGGAATGGGTTTTTTTGTTTTTTGTTTTAAATCTCCTCATTCCAACATTAAAGACAAAAATAAAACAAAACAAATAAGAAGAATGGAAAAGAGGAACCCTCTGACAGCTTCTTTTCCAATTCAGTATGTTGACATTATTTGACCTGTCGATAGCACTTGGCCGGGCCTGGACACTGACCTGCAGACTGCTCTTCCATAAGAACAGGACAGGTCAGGTTTTCAGTGAGTCTTTTTTATGGTTTAGTAAGTCAACATTATGAAAATGTGGAAATGTTGCCTTTATTTTTTATTTTATTTATTTATTTGGTACCAGGGGGATTGAACCTGGAGGGGGTTTAACCACTGAGCCACATTCCCAGCCCTTTTTTATATTTTATCTAGAGACAGGGTCTCTGAGTTGCTTAGGGCCTCGCTAAGTTGATGAGACTGTCTTTGAACTCAAGATTCTCCTGCTTCAACCTCCCAAGCCACTGGGATTACAGGTGTGCGCCATGGTGCCTAGTGAAATGTCACCTTTAATTTATCTTTAATGACAAATACTATCATGTTTGTTATGTGGGTGCCCTTGTGGCCATTTTTTTTCCCATTATTATATTGATAATGTGCTGTATGTACAGTTCTGCATCTTTCTTTTTTCTTTTTGGTACTAGGGATTGAACCCAGGGGCAATCACTTAGTCACAATCCCAGCCCTTATTTATATTTTATTTATTATTTATATTTTATTTAGAGACAGGATCTGACTGAGTTGCTTAGGGTCTCACTAAATTGCTGAGACTGGCTTTGAACTCGAGATCTTCCCGCCTCAGCCTCCCGATCCTCTGGGATTACAGGCATGGGCCACTGTGCCTGGCTCAGTTCTGCATCTTGATTTTAGCACTTATTATTTTGTTGTAAATGCTTATATCCACTCCTCCATTATCTGAATAATTATTAATTTAATGTCTTCCTAATATTTATTAAGTAGGTATGTCACAATTTATTTAAACTTTGCCTTCTCAATGACATTTGGATCCTCAAAAATATTCTTTTTTAGCAACTAAAATATTGTTACATATGTGAGATCATTTGAGTTCTCTGTTCAAAAATTTTTCCTAATTTGACTCAGAATGAAAGTCAGATTCCTTACAATGAAAAATATATTGCCATGACAAAGATGGGCCTGTGATTATTTTTCTCCATATTTAGCATTATTTAAAAGGTTAAATCTGACTGCTTTATATTTTTAAGTTTGCTGTACCTCTCACCTAACTTTCTCATTTAATAAATAGAATTTGGTGGAAGTTTCTCTCACTGGCTGTCAGAAGCAGCAGGATAGATTCCTGAAGTGAAACCAGTAGGTCAAAGAGCAGAACCTCTTTATGACTCTTGTTTCGTCCCAGGAGACCTCTGGACTAAGTGATCCCTAAGGCCCCATCCAGCTTCTACATTTTGCAGTTCAACAGTTCTGAGCTTCAAGGGGTGTTAACAACCCTTGTTGTTTGTGAATTTGCTTTTTCCAAGATAAACGCGATGGTTGCTGGCTCTCCTGTTTAGATGACATTTCCTATTACAGTTTGTGAGTCCCTCCAAAAGTGAGCTTGCTGTTCTGCAACCCCAACTCCCTCCTTTGGTGCCGGGGACATGTGTCCCTGGTTACACATGCCCCAGATCACCTGCATGGATTAAAAAGATAGTTTTTTTTTTCTTCCTGTCCTAACAAACATACATTTCATTCTTCCTGTTTAGCTACTGGGCCAGGGACATAAAGAATAGATAAGAAACTGCTGGGTTGACATTCTTTCCACCATAACTTTGACTTATTGAAAGCAGAAGCCACCAATGGGCTAAATGACACTGGCAGGATGCAGTTCACAATGGCCCCCAAAGGGCCTCAAAAGCCGTGTCTTACTTACGAGGATGTCGTTCTGTGGATGCCTGAGAAGCTCTTGATACTCTCAGGCAGAGCAAAAATGATCAGCAGGTTGAGGGGGCACAGCCTGAGGGGCTTTGACGTGATGATAAAGGACCAAGCTTGGTTCCCACATGGGGCATTCCCACTCTTTCTTCTCCAACCCCAATTACGTGGGTCACGTCCGGTCCGTGCGGTTTTCTGTGATTGTGTGTGGCTGTGCCACCAATTAATCCTCAACAGACGCGGGTGAGTAGGAAGCGCCTAATGAAGCCTGACCTGGTTATAGTCTTTCTTCTCAGACCTGCGGAAACCCAGTGCTCCTTTATTGTTAACAACCCTCTAATGGTTTTCTGGCCTCTCTCTGGTCCCCAAGTCCCCAGAGCCATGAGGCCCTTTCACTGGATTGGGTCTTTCTGTCCCTCTGAGGCCTGGCTGACGGCTGGGCACCCTCCTAGGATAAAGAGGGGAGCCTTGTGCTTCTGATGTCATTTGTTGGTTGGGCACATGGATCCCCCATGGAGCTGTGAGCCAAAACCAGGCTGCGGAGTGGTCCCGGTGCTGTCCCTAATCTACACCTCTATGAATGCTCCTTCTGGCTCCAAGCCTTGTATTCCTCATCTCTCAGTTAGGGACAATAACTGTTGCCTCATCTGGCTGCTTCAAAGAGATATCATAGGGTTTTCATTTTTTGGTAATGGGAATTGAACCCAGGGGCGCTTAACCACTGAGCCACAACCCCAGCCCAGGAGCAAACTTTTCTCTAAGAACACGTGTTACAGTCTATAAAGTACTTTTGTGTATGTCACCTCATCAAATCTCTATGACAGCTGGGTACGCTGGCACATGCCTATAATCCCAGAGGCTGGGGAAGCTTTTCTGCCCTTCCTGATGTGGTATCTTAACACCAAGTGGACTGAACACACTCGTGCTTTTTATCGCTTCCTTCCTTTGGGGTAGGGGTCCTTTGCCTCAATTTCTTGGTTACTTGAATGACATCCGCTCATTTCCAATAGCAATTTGAGGTGAGTTTAAAAATTAAACTTCATTTTAATTAGGACAGCCAGTTAAATCAAAATGGAAATATAAAGGATTAGATTTATTTTTAAAGGAAATTTTTTTTTTGGTGCTGAGGATTGAACCCAGGGGTACTCAACAACTGAGCCATATCCCCATCCCTTACTACTTTTTATTTATTTATTGACTTTTTGGTACAGGGGATTGAACCCAGGGGTGCTGAGTCACATCCCCAGCCCTTTATATTTTTTTTATTTTGAGAAAGGGTTTTGCTACATTGCTGAGGCTGGCCTCAAACGTGCAATCCTCCTGCTTCAGTCTCCCCAGTCGCTGGGATTATTGGCATGTGCCACTGCACCCGTAAGGACTAGGTTTTAAAGATTGCAGTTGGAAACTGAATTTAGTTCTGAGCTTCCTAACAGCCAATAAACAAAGGGAAATGTTTTTGGATATGTCTATAATCATAATTGGATCAAAGGAAATTGCCCTGTTTAGGAATTGAAGATTCAGGCTATAGACTGTCCTTGCCAGTGGAGAGGAAATGGTACCACAGGAGAGGCCTTGAGGTGGGAATTGGAAGCCCTGCATGCTCCAGGAAGTCCCCACCCCCTGGCTACTGTCTGGTCAGAATAGCAGGAAGTCGATTCTTCCCCAGAGCTTGCCCTTTAGAGGAATAAGCGGGCACCTCTCAGTCTTCATCTGCTCCCCCAGCTCCCCACTTCGTCCCTGGCTGGTGGAGGGGCCAGCTAAGGAGACAGTGGGAGAGCCCATCACAAAGCTGCCCCTCAGTTGGGACACAGCCTCAGGGTGGGAGTGGGAGTTTACAGCCTTGGCTGCAGGGCAAGCACCCCCACCTGCCAACCCTGTCACCCCAACATCTGTTCCAGGTGGACAGATTCCTGTATCATATGCGGCTCTCTGATGAGACCCTTCTGGACATCATGGCCCGGTTCCAGGTTGAGATGGATAAGGGCCTGGGGAAGGACACCAACCCCACGGCCTCGGTGAAGATGCTGCCCACCTTTGTCAGGGCCATTCCAGATGGCTCAGGTGAGTGGGGCTGGGGCTTCCGGACCTGGTCCCTGGCTCCTCCTGACTGATGAGTCCCTGATGTTTGCTTTTATACCCATCTTCTCTCCCCATGTCCCTTCTCCCTGACCCTCTTGGCTTCAGTGCTGCTGACCACCTTTGGGATCCACACATTAAGACACCTGGCATTCTCGCTGCCTATGTTGGCCTCACACATTCTGTCCTCTGTCTCTTTCTCTTTTTGGTACCATGGATTGAACCCAGGGGTGCTTAACCGCTGAGCCACATCCCCAACCCATTTTATATATTTTATTTTGAGGCAGGGTCCCCAAGTTGCTTAGGGCCTCGCTGTTGCTGAGGCTGGCTTTGAACTTGCAATCCTCCTGCCTCAGCCTCCTGAGTCGCTGAGATTACAGGTGTGCACCACCGCCCTCGGCCTGTCTCCTGTCTTGCTGCAGCATCCCACCATTCTCGCCCTGGTGAGCACCACCTTAACTTTCCAAGAGTAGTCTAGAAAGATCACTCAGTGCCTCAGATGGGAAGCATCCTCATACTAGGTCAGGTGCTTATCAGAATCCTGGTCACCATGGTGGATGAGAGTCTCCCCTGGACTAATGGCTCCATGAGGCCTGGGATTTATTCACCACAGCGTTCGGAGCATCTAATGCACTGTGGGCCTGACATAGGAGTTGAAAGAACAATAAATGGCATTCATTCCTAGATGCCTAGATTCTAGGCTAGAGAAATAATGAAAGGAAGCATGTTGCAATGGAAAGAGAATTAAATGACAATTCAAGAAAATTAGATTGTAGGCCTGACACTCTGACACTCCTTGGTGACTTTGGGCAAGTGATGAGCCTTGATTTCTCCATCTGTAGAATGAGAGCATTGGCCTAGGTATTGGTTTCTATCGTTGTGTTTTATTTTGATCTCAGTTGCTTAGGGCCTTGCTGTTGCTGAGGCTGGCTTTGAACTTGCCTTTGTAGGGGTGAGCGGGAGCAGGCTGGCTGGCCCAGGGGTCTGCATTAGGACTAGGCTCCATATTTGCCTGGGCATAAGATTTAGATTAACCCCGGGCAATTCCTAAACATGTGGTTTCCCAGGTCTCTCCCTGGAGGTCTAGTAAAATTTAGTGGATTCACACGACCCAAATGTACGCTCTTACAGTCTGGCGGTCAGAACTCTGAAATGGTTCTCGTTGGGCTAAAATCAAAGGGTTGGCAGGGCTGCCTTCCCTCTGGAGGCTCCAGGGAGCACATCTCCCTGCCTTTTCCAGCTTCTGGGAGCCACTGCGTTCCTTGGCTTATACTCCTTTCTGTCTTCAAAGTCAGCAGTGTCACTTCATCAAATCTTTCTCTGGAAGCTGGGTGTGGTGCCTCATGCCTGTAATTCCAGCAACTTGAGAAGCTGAGACAGGAGGATCATGAGTTCAAAGCCAGCCTCAGCAACTCAGCAAGGACCTCAGCAACTTAGCAAGACCCTGTCTCTAAATAAAAATAAAAAAGGGCTGGATTATGCCTTGGTGGTAAAGCATCCCTGAGTTCAATCCCCCAGTACAAAAAACAAAATCAAGCTGGGTACAGTGGCACACGCCTGTAATTCCAGCAATTGGGAGGCGGAGGCAGGAGGATCGTGAGTTCAAAGCCAGCCTCAGCAAAAAGTGAGGCCCTGTCTCTAAATAAAATATAAAATAGGACTGGGGATATGGTTCAGTAGTTGAGTGCCCCTGAGTTCAATCCCCTGTACCAAAGGGGAAAAAAAAAATCAAATCTTTCCCTATCTCTGACCCTCTGCCTCCCTCTTCCATACTTAGAGACCCTCTGATTACATTAGGCCCATTCAGATTATCCAAGATCATCTCTCAGGCTCAAGGTCAACTGATGATCAATTTTGAGTCTATTTAGTTCCCCTTTGCCATTTGCTCTAACATAATCAGGGATTGGGACATGAGGGGATGGGGGCATTATTTTGACTACCACAGCCTAGGGCTCTCTAGATGGGATCTGGGAGTTCCTACCTGACCGCTCCATTCTTAGCAAAGCCAGAAGAGAGAAAAGAACTGGTAATTACTGAGCATCTACTGCGGTCATGAAACACTAGGAACTCACTGCCAGTGTTCCACATAGAACCCTGTGGAGAAGATGCAGGTCAGATGGGAACAGTGCTCAGAGCCTTAGGGCCCCGGAAGGAGCAGGGGCTGAAGCTTGGGGAGTTCTCAGGGGGCCTTTGATTTGATTAGTTGAATTCTGGGTCACTCTGGGGCAATGTTTGGGTCAGAGTAGCTTGGCTCTGTTGGTTGAGAGGCCCGGCCTCCTTGCTGACAGATGTGTGATCCTGATGGGCAGAACATGAGCTTTGGAGGGAGACAACCGTACTTTGAAATCTCAGCCCCACCTCTGGCAGTACTCCATGAGAGTGTGAAGGGGCCTGTGGTCCTTGATGGGTCCTTCCGGGCCATTCTGCAGAAGCATCTGAGTCACAGGGTGTGCGTGGGGTTGGTGAGGAGCACGAGGGCTAAGTCCTCCTTGCTTCCTGAGCTGTGGCCCCACCTCCAGATACCAAGAAGGTGTGGCCCCAAGAAGCAAAGAGAGTGGCCTTGGATGATCTGGAGATATGGGGCTGGCCGCTTCAGATGGTTTAGAAGTGAGGTTGATCATGTTCCAGAAACTCCACCTTCCTCAGGTTTTTCACTGTTCACTTAGAACCTCTCACCTACCACATGGCGCCCAGTGGTTCTGTTGCAGAGAGGTCCCTGGGCCCAAGTATCTAATGAGCCCTTGCAAACCCCAGGACCACTGTGCTCCTGTCCTCATCCGTGCAAGGGGATGGTCAGCGTGCCCGTCCGACCGTGGGACTGTAAATGGAGGGGCCACAGGAGTTTCTCCCTTCCTCTCCGAAGACTTGAATCTTTTCATTTGGTGAAGTGAAATGACAATAGAAAGACCCACAGGAGAGCTAGTGTGCAAATTTATTAATGTTCACGGACACACAGGAGCCACACATAATGGGAAACTTGAACAAGAGTGGGGGTGGCTGTTGTGGCTTACATACCCTCTTCATAAGGGAGAGGGAAGTGGGGGATAAGGCAATCTCAGAGGGGTAGTAAATGATTTTTAGGGCCAAAGCATAAGCCCAGAGAGCAGACAATGGGCTGGGACAAAGTTCTTCCAGGCTCTAGGTATGGTATTTGGTTTTCGGTCTCCTTGGTGATAAGAAGTAACCTTCCTTGGTTAATGACATCTCGGTAGAGGACTGAAGGCAAATGTGTTCCTTCTCGGCAGATCGGGTCCCTGGGCAGACGAGGGGACTCCAGGGAAGGCCCTTCCTGAATTTGCTGCTCTCCCGGTGCTCCAGAGTGGCGCATTTGGGGGTCTTGTTTTCGGAGCTGACATTAGGATCCAGTGTGGTTTTGTGAATGAAGTGCTTTAAAATCTCCCAGATGTTGTCCCCAGTCTTCTGTGACTCTTGTGAGCTGATGGTGTCATTTCGTGATTACTGACAAAATCAAATAACCCTCTCCTGATCCCTGGGAGCTTCCATTCAGAAATGTATGCAATTTCCCTCGAGCTCCTTCTGCGTCTGCTCGCCTCCATAGCTTCCCCTCTCCTGAGGGTGTCAACCGTCTCCTGAGGCCGACTCACCTCCCAGCCTTTTGAAAATCTGCCAGGGACCATTCTTAGGACCAAGAGCCTTCACAGTGTTTTATCATCCTCCGCCTCTAGCAGGTGTGGAAGGAGGGGCCCCAGAAGCCCCCAGCCTGGGGTGGGGTGAAGGTGGTTAGGGGGCCTCAGCAGGACCCCAGCTGGCTTCTGCCTCCACGTGCTTCCTAGACCTGCACGTAGGCCTGGGATGAGCCCAGGGGCTCTGAAGTTACTTGCCAGCATGGCTGATGGTCCCAGAGGGTTTGTAGTTGTCTGAGAATAAGAATCAGATTCACCTGGAACAATTCCCAAACCCGGTTTTCCTAGCCTCTCCCTCTGGAGATGGAATGTCCAGAATCTCTGCTGCGGGTTATTGTGCGCCTTCAGGAGACACGGCACTGGGGAGTGCAGAGGGAAGGAAGGCACGGACCCTGGCATTGCTTAGGAGAAAGGAACCCCCATCTCTGAGCATCATAAGCCGCCAGCAGATGGTGGAAAATAGTCTGCCCAACTGGGAGGTCCTGAAGGCCCCCCGCTGTCCTGGCCCCCCTCCTCTGCCTGGGCAGGGCCTCCCTCCCTCAGGCTCCAGTGAGTTCTTCCTGTGGGGTTAGAGTCACATCACAGGAGGGATCACACCACGTGGTTTCCATGAAACAGCACCTTGAGTCACCAGAGGAGTGACATGTTTGCACAGTGATAACGGCACTCTGTGTGGTGTGGGGGGTGGGGAGAGGAAGATCTCCACACTAGCCAGGTCTCACACTGCCATTTGTGCAGCCCCATAGCCTCCTCTTTTGCTAAACCCTCGGGCTACCCTGATTGGTGCCAGAGGTTTTCTTTGTTCCCTCAAAATATCAATCAGACTGTGGCATTCCCTTGCTCAAAATCTTTCTGTGAGCCAGGTGCAGTGATGCACACCTCTAGTCCCAGCAGCTCAGGAGGCTGAGGCAGGAGGATCATGAGTTCAAAGCCAGCCCTCAGCAACTCAGTGAGGCCCTAAGCAACTCAGTGAGACCCTGTCTCTAAATAAAATATAAAAAGGGCTGGGGATGGGGCTCAGAGTTTAAGTGTCCCTGGGTTCAATCCCCTATACCAAAACAACAACAACAACAACAACAAAAAACCAAGCAAACAACAACAACAAAACTTTCTGTGGCTCCTGCTCACCTTCTGGATAAAGCCCTAACTCTCTGGGGTAGGGTGACTTTTCTAGATCCTTCCTGATTTACCCCAGACTACCTTCCAGGCCCATTTCTGCTTCAGAACCACAGGCGCCCATTCCTTTGCTCATGGTCTCTTCTTCCTGGAACACGGCTGTCCCCTGCCTGGCTACCTAACTTGCTCTCGTCCCCACACTCAGCTGTGTCTGCCCCCTCCCAGCTCTGATTTGGGCACCTCTTCCTGCACTTTCCACCATTAGAGTCCCTGTCCTCCTGATGGAAATGGCTTTCTTCTGCACCTGCACTGCTGATAAACTTCCCAAGGCATCTGCAGCCTTTCATCTTTGCATTCCTAGCACCAGGCCTGGGACATGGCACTGACAGGGGCCCCATATATGTTTGCACGTGGATTGTGTGATCTACTGATTTCCACACCAAGGAAACGTCTGGGTGAGCATCTCCAGCTGCTGCATGAGACGTGCTCATAAGAGATGGATAAGGTTTGCTCCCTGGAGTCCCCAGCCAGGTATCATGGCTTCACCTGGCTCATTTCAGAGCTGATCTGGGAAGATAATCTCCAGATGTTTCCACAGAAACAAAAGATGAAGCTGGCTGAGTCTATAAATGAGGGTTCTCCACCCTGGAGACCTGGGCGCTTGTTTAGAAGTGCAGAATCTCAACCCAATGGATCACTAGCTGTATGCTCTGAGCCAGCTGAGGCTCTGCCTCTAGCTCATTGCTTGCCCAGATTGGAGAAACCCACCGGAGCCCAGTCAAGGAAAACACGATGTGTGAGGTCATGATATGAGGGACACAAGATCACGTGGGAATCCAAGGGCAGGAGTGGTGGTGTACTCAGGCCTCAAGGGGACTGGGCCTTGAATGCTTTCTGCCTGTGATTGCTACTTGCAGGTGACCCCGTTGGCTTCCTGCCTGACCACAAGGGTCAGAAGCACTGACGTTTTGGTTTCTACCATCTACTAGCAACTTCCTCTGTGTTTTATTTCATGCTTTACAAGGAGTGACTCTGGTCAGCTGGCTCCTGAGATCTAGGCAGGTGTGACAGTCATCATGTAGTAGGACACAAGGCCTGTGGGTGCTGGGTTTGTGAATTGGAAGTTTCACTGACCTGTGCTGTGGGCATGTATCCTGAAGCACCCCTGGTACTGGAACCTACTCTTTAGGCATGAATAATATGTACAAAGGCTTGTTGTCAAAGGGGTACAGGCCTGAGTTTGCATTCCATCTCTGGCTGATGCCAAAGGCACTGGCAGAGATCCTGAGTCCATGTGGCCAGGGCAGGCACACCAGCATGTGTGTCATTTCTATGTTTTGGTAACGGGCGTCTTTCTTGGACCAGGCTGTGTAGTGTTCCATTTTCTCCTTTTGGAATGGCTCTGGCCTAAAAATTAAGCATCCAGCTGGGCGTGGTGGCACACGCCTATAATCCCAGTGACTTGGGAGGCTGAGGCAAGAGGATTGCAAGTTCAAGGCCAGCCTCAGCAACTTAGTGAGGCCCTCAGCATCATAGCAAGACCCTGTCTCAAAATAAAAAATAGAAAGGGCTGGGGATGTGGCTCAGTGGCTGAGCACCCCAGGGTTCAATCCCTGGCACCAAAAAACAAGGGTTCACATGTGTCTTCCCCAAATGAACATTCTCATTTCCTGCAGCTTGGCTGAGTGGGGTGAACTCAGGCTGCAGAGTCGAACATACCTGGGCTCACACCTCACTTCTGTCCCCTGCTGCAGTGGCTCAGACACACGCCGCACTCCTCAAGTCCCCCC